TGAGGATAATGCTTTTTTTCATGCTAGCAAACTCTATTTCTGCTGGTGGATGTAAGTTTCTTCCTTTCTATGGTTTTCATCATCAACCTCTTCCTGCCATAAATAGTTCTATCTGTCCTTGACTACATTCTCCAAGTGGGTTTGAGCCTAGTCTTTTTGATAACTCACATTGAAAGTGGCATTGATCTCTAATAGTTAATATTTGCTTGTCTTATGGTTATCTTTAATTATATATTTTATATATATATATATATATATATATATAGATATATATATATATATATATATTGCTGAGCAAAGCAGAGTGTTTGATGTGAGAACATCTTTTCCTTTGTACAGAATCTATAATCTGTCCTTACCCATCTTTGGTGGAATTGTGGGAACAATCTTATATTGCGTCCCAGCTCATCACGCCGTTACTTTGCAGTTTGCACTTAATTGCATCTGCATTTTTATAGAAAATGTCAACAGACTGAAATACCCTTATTGAGGAAGCCAATGACAAAATTTGAAAAATATTTTCAATTATTATTAACGAAGAAAGAGATAGACACAAAAATTCTCAAATTATAACATGAGAGACTATGAGAGGATACATTTTCGTTTTCAATTGGATTTGTCAGTCAACCTAACTGCTTTGTAGTAGTGAAACTGCCAAGAGAGTTGAACATAGTGATCCACAACATTAAATATAAAATATGGGTAATTATAAATGGATAATCAGCAGTATCAAGATAATTTGCATCCTAGATTTGGCAATAATGGTTACACAGAATCCTCACATGCCACATGAAAAACATCAGCCTCAGCGAGTGAGGAAAAGTTTTGGTGGTGATTTTGACATTTGATGACAAACACCTGTCTTTTGTGAGATTCCGTGTTTAGCATCTACGTGTAACTAACAATTTTCTTCTATAATATATTCAATTAATCGTATTCACTAGTTAAGAAATGATGGGGGTGGTGGCTTTTCATTCTGACCTCTGCATTTCCCCTGGACAATGTAAGCAACTAATTCTTTATCATATAATTTGTTGCTTGCGAATTAAAGTGAATCTCTAACAAATATAAATTGGCTGGTAGTTTGGTGCTTCTGATGTGTAATCTACCAACTAGCCATCATTTGAGTATGTTAATCGTTACCCTTCTTTAGGCTAAATCCATGTCTCCTAGGGTCCTACCCTTGTAGATAAGAACACATGAAACATAGATGGGGTGACGGGTAAAAAAAACTGACGTTGAATTTTGTCATGGTTCATGATCAAATATGAACTATTCAGGTAATGTATCATGTGTCATTGTACAAAACTATTTCACCAAAAGCTGAAGTTCTTAGGTGAAGAAGTTACATTAATAGTTTTTATATTATATCTCTCTAACAGTCACCACTCACTAGTCACTACTAATTTAATTGCATCTAAGGATTTTAATTTGCTCGAAGAACAATTCAATCATTTTTATATCCTTGTCATACTTTTTGTTATTGTAAATAATCATTTTAACCCAAAAGCTTAAGCTGTTGGGTGAGGCTGCTTTAATGATTTTATATTTCTCTAACAGTTATTGTAGTATCTTTGACGGGTAACCCAAATGCTGGATTTTGTTAGAACTACTTGCAATTATGGTATAGAGTCTTGATTCCAACTATGCTTTATTCCAGAATTTGACTCGGGGTCTGCAAAAGTAGGGGTTATAACACTCCTAGGGGTATATTTACATACATTGTAGGTTATGAGATACCATCTTAATGTCCCAATTGTCCTTCCATTTTGTTTCTGAAGGTTTATTTAGACTTTTAGCATCCTTTTGCTGAAATTTTAGTGCATTTATTTGATTACCCTGAAGTGCCTTACATTGAGATCGAGGATTTATACCTCAGATGCTCTTGTAAGTTAGTCAATATCACTAATTTACAAATCCTTTTTTTGTATTTGGATTGATATATCAATGTACAATGTTTTTCCTTTTTTATCTCTGATGGATGGTTGCTGAAGTTTCATTATTCTTTCATTTCTCATTTGCAGTTTGTGAACAGCATCACATGGTCACTTTGTTAAAATGGAAGTCCTTAATTTGACGGCACCTCTTTTTTTTTTTTTGTTTCCTACAGATGCTTTTATAGGTGTCAACCTTGGTTCAGATGTATCTGACATGCCGAGTCCAACAGAGATTGTGGCCCTTCTTAAGGCTCAAAGTATCCAACATGTCAGACTCTATGATGCTGATCGAGCCTTGCTTCTTGCACTTGCCAACACAGGAATCCGTGTAACTGTTTCTGTTCCCAATGACCAGCTACTTGGCATTGGTCAGTCCAATGCCACTGCAGCAAACTGGGTTTCTCGAAATGTCATAGGTCATGTACCTGCTACCAACATCACTACCATAGCTGTTGGATCTGAGGTTCTAACTGCCCTCCCAAATGCTGCACCTATTCTAGTCTCTGCCTTGAAATTCATTCACTCGGCTCTTGTTGCTGCTAATCTGGATAGGCAAATTAAAGTCTCTAGTCCGCACTCTTCTTCTGTCATACTTGACTCTTTCCCACCTTCCCAAGCATTTTTCAATCGTACTTGGAATCCAGTCATGGTTCCCTTGCTTAAATTTTTGCAATCAACAGGTTCATATTTTATGCTCAATGTATACCCCTATTATGATTACCAGCAATCCAATGGTGTAATCCCACTGGATTATGCTTTATTCCGCCCCCTACCTCCGAATAAGGAAGCTGTTGATGCCAATACTCTCCTGCATTATACTAATGTTTTTGATGCAGTTGTTGATGCTGCTTATTTTGCAATGTCTAATTTGAACTTCACCAATGTCCCTATTCTGGTGACTGAGTCAGGATGGCCCTCCAAAGGTGACTCATCTGAGTCAGATGCAACTGTTGATAATGCTAACACTTACAACAGTAACTTGATCAGACATGTCCTAAACAATACGGGGACTCCTAAACATCCTGGAATTGCGGTCAGTACATATATTTATGAGCTTTATAATGAAGACTTAAGGTCAGGTCCAGTCTCAGAAAAGAACTGGGGGCTTTTTTATGCTAATGGAGAACCAGTGTATACCTTACACTTGACCGGTGCTGGAATTATATTTGCAAATGATACAACAAATCAAACGTTTTGTGTCACAAAGAGCAATGCTGACCCTAAGATGCTACAGGCAGCACTTGATTGGGCTTGTGGACCAGGAAAGGTGGATTGTTCCCCTTTGCTGCAGGGTCAACCATGTTATGAACCAGATAATGTAGTTGCACATGCTACATATGCTTTCAATGCATATTATCAAAAGATGGCTAAATCTCCTGGGACTTGTGATTTCAAAGGGGTTGCCACCATCACCACCACAGACCCAAGTATGGCATTACGCACTCACATAATATTTATATTTGAATTGGCAATAAAAGTATGTGTACAGTTATTTGTAAAGCCAGTAGTACACCATAATTAGAGGCAATAAGGAAATATGCATGTTTGCACCCTAACACAATAACCAGCTTTTGATAGACTTACAGGTTACAAGTAAGGTGAATTATGATGAAATTTGTTTTAGGCTTAATTACACCTTTGGTCTCTGGAATTTTAAAGTTCTTTCATGTAGTTCAATCTTAGATCAGACATCAATTTGGTGACAAAAAGTGTTCAGATGGCACTTAAGTAACTTATCTGACACCTCAGCCATTTAACTAGCACATAACCTAACTATGTGCCACCTCAACACTTGGCATCTTCCAAAATCGTGACATTGAAATATTACGGGGACTAAAATGGCAATCAAACCTTTATTTTATTGGGGAGAAAAGAATTGATCTTTTGACAAGAAGTATGAAAATATTGGTATTAAAATCATGTTGCTTATCAGTTTGTTTCACAAAAATATTTGTTCAACTTATGGATGACCATATGGCCGTTTTTGTTCTTCATTTTTCTGTATATTTGATTCTCATTAGTTATGTACTTATATTTGAAAGAACTTGTTACATGAGTACTTTTTGAATTCAATTTGCTTCGCATCCTTTTGACAGGAAGCGTGGGAATCTTAGTGATTGCCATCTTTTATCAGTTGGTGTGAATAAATCTCTTAAAATTTCGCATCTTTTCTATTTGTTGGCCATTTTCTGTTGACTCACATTTTTTATACATCATCGAAAATCTAGCATCATCAGTTTTTTATTTAAAATTGCTTAGCATTTTAACAACTGACATTTGTTATGTTATAATTGTTACAGGTCATGGTTCTTGTATATTTCCAGGAAGGTATGATCTATCGAGCTTACATTTGTGTGCTTGTTGTCATTTCTTTCCCGATTATATGTGCTAGTCTTGTTCTTATTTTGCTGACATCTTAGTAGTGTCTTTTTCCAAGCCTCTTCTCTTTCAGCTCCAAAAGCTGTGAAGTGACTTTACATTGTCTGCTAAAGTGTTCTGTCTTATTCTTTTTTGTTTTGGTTGCATATTTGTGGTGAACTACAGTCACGGTAAAAATGGCACCAGAATAAACGGCACGTCACTGGCCCCATCTAATTCCACAAGTTCGGGTTGCTTGTCACAATACTACTACAATGGTGGATCTTTCACAAGCTGTGTGATTCTAGTTGTTTTACTGTTTAGTGCAGTTGTCATGTAAAACTAGGCACATTACCTGTTCATCATTGGAATATAATTCATGGAGCAATCCTCTTCAACTGCCTTACGGAAGATTGCATTGCAGCATGCCTAATTTTGTTTTGCTCCTGTTGAGAATTCAAAGGGTGGCAAGGTTGATCAAAATGTGTATCAGCAATTGTACCTCTGAGTTGTCCATTGAATTTTGTACTAACAAACCAGAGTAATTATTAGACATGATTGTTGTAACCTTATTAGGGCCTTTTTTAACCATAATTTATATTCTTTTAATTGGAATTATTTTGTCTCTTGCATCCATTGGAATGTTTGTCTTTGGCATGATGACCAGGATATGGTCCACACATAATGCAAATACTATCATCATTCATCAGCAATAATTTCTATAGTGCTATAATCTTTATATACAAGTTACAACAAAACTACATAGTGCGAGGCATGATAATTTAGCTTATCATGAGCTTAACACTTCATTACAGAACATCAGTGTAAGTATATCCATGAGAATTTTCATCACAAACTTTACAGAGGAATAAAGAGTCTGAAGAAGTGCACCACCAACTTGTGTGTTGCTTACAGTATGGTTTGTTACAGAAACTGCACTTGGGAAGCTTTAACCAACATTCAAGGCACAAGATATCTCCACAGGCACCCTCTTCCGCTTCTTCGGATCCAATACATTCACCACAGTTTTCACACCTTGGAATACAAAATATGCATCCCCTACAATGAGCTAGGGGCCATTCCCTCATCTTGCACATCCCTTTGGGGCAATCATAAACCATCCTCACCTCAAAGCACTTGGGACATATCTCCAAATCAATAATCCGGTGGCTTTCTTCTTGCTTAAATAATGAAATGCTACCACGTTCATGATAGTAGATAGGCTGCTGCGGTTGTTGCTCCCCTAAATGCAGGTTCTTTCTGAGGTTCAAGGCAAGCATGTCAAGATGCTCCTTCTGCAGGTTGTAGATGCCGTTTAAACTTAAGGTGCTTAAGCAGTTGCTCATTTGGCACAGCGTTTTCACGGAACATAGAACTCCTTCAGGGGTTAAGCTAGTGCATGCTGGTATATGGAGCTATAACGAAAATGAAACCAGAAATGAGACAACACTCAAATCCTACTATGTTGGAAGCAAGTTCCAAGGTGCCTTCACACTGCCTTGGATATTAAATATTGTATCTTATCAAAACTTAATTTTTCCTCTTTTATGCATTCAGTTTCTTCTCTAAACTTGGTTTTCAAGATGTATATGACACCCTTTTGTCAAGTAGCTGTGTCAATTTTCAACTATTTTATGGAAAATACCAACCAAGGATAGCCAGACACTTGTTATCCATTGAATTCAATATTTGACCTACTTGGTAAGTAGCTAAAACCAACCTCATAATTTCATTCAAGACAGACTAAAAACTTTGCTTATTTAAAGAAAACCGTTGAATCAGATGACCAAAATAGAAATCTAAAACATGGGTTTTGGATATTAATACCTTGTTTATGAGAGGGTTTTGTTCTACGACCCTTTGGAGCCCCTCATCGGTAATGTGGATGCAGTTCATCAAAGCCAAAGTTTTGAGCCTACCATTGGCCTTGGAGGTTATTTTCATTAGAATCTCGTCAGAGAGTCTCGAATTCAGAGGCCTTTCGACAATAACATTGAGCCATGGCAATACATCATCGTTCACTGCATCCCTTAGTGATGTGCAAACTTGAGACATGACTAGAAGCTCGTACACTGGAAGGTAAGCTAAGACGAGAAACACAGCCTCGTGAGGAGGCTCTGGTTCTGCTTGTACTTGCTCAACTATAAAGCTAAGAGAAGAGGTGGAAGCCTTGGAAGACTCTTCCATATTTGACTTCACTTTATTCTCTAAATGCAAACATATGGCAGCAACCATAGCCAGGTTTCTTAAAATAAAATAAAAAGAACTTGATACGAGAAGGAGCTAAGATTAGATCTCAATTGAAGGAGAGTGTGACACGTTAATACAGTTAAATATGGTTGACGGTAATGCACGTAAAACACACGAGGACCGTCTCAATTGGATTGGCATCAAAGCTAAAGATCAATTTTACATTAGAAAAATAAAATAAAATAAAGAATTTTAACCATTAGTGAAAAAGTCAAGGGAAAAAAAAATCATAATTTTAATAGAGCTTTATGAAGGCTTAAATTATTATTATTATTGGTCTAAAAAAATGGCGATATTGACTATTTATTTAGTCTTTCTATCATTATTATTTAATCTTCCTACTATTTTTTTTCACTATTAGATTATATTTAAATCAATGGTTAAAAGAACAAAAATAAAGGGTGTAATTAATTAAGAAAATAAGCAAGAGAGAAGTAAAATAATATTTGAGACCATTAATTTAAATTTAATCTAATAGTAATAAAAAGATAATAAAAATATAATATAATCCCCCAAAAGAAATGATGAACCGAATTTAACTTATTTTAAACACAAATAGGTAAATCCAAGTATATCCAGTGAAAAAGTCACTTGTTACTTAGGTGGTGCCTTGCTTGTTACTTAGATGGTGCCTTGGCACTGAGCAATAATTGTGTGGTCCTAGAGCACTTGTTCCTTTAATTAAATAGGGGGTAAAATAAAAAAATATGTAAAAAAACAAGGGTAAAATAAAAAAGTTATGTGATACAAAGCACATGAATATTATATGGTCCGGGATGATATTAAAATTTTCCCTTTACATCAGCTAATTTTTAAAAACAGTACAATCTTAATACCAGTTGAATTCTAACTGGTTGGGTCTTTTCGAACTAGCTAAAATTTACTTCCAGTGCCACTGAGTATATCCACCACAACTGATGACATTAGCAATTCTAAGTTATACCACTAAAAGTAAAAGGGCATAGAAGGTCCTTGATCTGCAAAGGAAAATAACCGAGCACTCTTTCCTTAATTTTACCCCCAATTGTGTGTTGACAGCAATATCTGAAAATAATTTAGAATCGCCTTTCGTCTCTAAAGAAAACTTCTGCTTTCTCTTTTTGTAATTACCTTTTTTCCCAGATGGGTTAATTACGCTATCTAATTTTGTAGGTCTATGTGGACCCAAAAATAATGTCAACAAAATCATATAGTCAAAGCTGGTGTGATGTGGGCTTTTTGATTATAGTAGGCTTTATTTAATAATTAATTATCAATTCGACTTTCAATCAAAATATATTATTCATCTGTTCCTGTTTTACTGTGCACAACATAAAATATCCGGGTACATAAGCGGTTATCCAAGTATATTTTAAAAATTTCACCCTACTCGAATAGTCAAGTGAGAACCCGGGTATTGTTCAAAATCTGAGAAATGACTTGAATTATTTACTCGGTAAGGAGGGAATACGCGTGTATCTATTCATTATAGCAAGATCACAGGTTTGACAACAGGGGCGGATTTGGGAAAAGAAAAAATAGGACTATGAACAGATTGAAAAAATAGGACCCAGGGAACCTTGGCATTTCTCAGTTTTCCCAGTTTTGCTCTTTCCCAGTTTTATATTGTCCTTACATTATAAAACGATATAAAAATGACCTTAAAATCGGAAAAAACAATTGGATCCTGAATTATCTTAACAAATCAAAGTTTCATCCTTGGAAGGTTTAAATCTTAGAAGCATTGCAAAGAAGTCCAATATCCATATCTAAAGAGAAGAATCAGAAAATCCACACAAACCATGGTCTAGAGGTGGAACTTCTAATTGCTAGTAGTTTTTTTAATTGCTAGAGGTGGAACTTCCATATCTAAAAAATCGTGAAACTTCTTCTGGGCATCAACAAAGTCATTAATTTCATCCTTTGTCTTGCGAAGCTCGCGAGTTAGATGATCATGCCTCTCGCAAAGCATACTGAGTTGAGCCCTCGCATGGTCCACCTCTGGGTCCCTGACCATAACATGTTGACGCATTTCATCAACCCATGGCCTCTCGAATCCAAGTTGGACAACAGCATCGCAAAGTCTATGGAACTCCTTTTCTCGCTGAGAAGTAACACTAATGGGGCTTTCAACTCGAAGGAACAACAACATATCCGCCAAAGTTCTCAACATCAAGGCTTGAAAGCGCTCACTAAACTCCCCACAAAAGTTCCAAAGATGAGGATATACTGCTATTGCCTTGGCAAGCAGAGAAATTTGTGCATCATCCAGATCAGCTAATTGCTTATATGCTCTCAATTGTGCAATGATCGATGAATGGCTTATATGCTCTCTGAGATACCCAGGTATCTCCCTCCCTACCCGGGTAAATAACTGCATACACGGGTATCCGAGTGCCTTACTCAGATAAAAATTCAAGTTATGTAAGAACAGTTATATTTCGCGAAATATACCCAGGTAAGGAGGGGGATACCCGGGTATCTTAGGGGTCAACGGTCAAACTGACAGATTGATATTATATTTGTTGAAAAGGTTAAATTTTTGCAAAAGTTTATAAGCAGAGTCAATTTGGTAATTAATTGTTAATTAAAAGTTACAGTGGTCAAAAAGCTGTGTGATATGAGAAAAAAAATTTACACTAAAAAAATAAAAAGCTATCATATTGAAACAGATTCCATTTAGATAACAATGACTCAATGAGAAGCTGCGAGATCTGAGCCCCACAATTGTCTAAAAGAAAAAATGTAATATCCTGTGGCTTGTCACAACAAATTACACACTGAAATGCTCCATAAAGCAACACTTTGTATACAAATAAGCCAACAAGAATCAACAAACATTTTTAAACTGAATTGATTCGGTAAATTTCTCTTCTTCTGAGGTGGAGTGAAGAATGAATATCCTGTGGCTTGTCACAACAAATTACACACTGAAATGCTCTCCCACGGACGAAATATCCAAACTGAAGTGCATCAAATACTTCACAGAACACAGATGTCTATTTTGTTAAAATTTAAGTTCCCAAAGAGATGTGCATATAACTCAGAGAAGTTGTGGAAGTTATGAATGACCGTCTAATGGTTCAACAGCTGTCTTGAAGAGAAGGATATAAACCTTGTCGATGGAAAAATACAAGAAGCCGCCAAGAGAATAAGTAACATAGGAGCCAAAGCTAGTACCCACAATACAGTGCCAAGCTGGACCATACGAAGAATCAAATTCCTGTAAAATCAGTATGTTTCTGTCATGAGCCATCAAGTAGTTCATACCATGTAGCATAATTCAGAAAGAGGGGTAAAATGATCACCAATGTCACTTTCCATCTAGATATGAGCAGTGAGAAATATAACTCTGCAAAAAAACATCATTTCTCAAGAGGACCAAAACAAAAAAGATCAAGATAATCACCAAAAATAATCACAGGGTTCGCAAGTAATCTAATACTAAATATAGTTGTAATTCATCCAAGTTTAAATATTGTTAGTCTAGTGAAGAAACAAAGGATAAAAAATACACCGAACAAAAACACCACTTCGGTTGCCACTAATCCACATGATCTGTGAGCAAGAAGCTCTAAATAAAACCAGGATATGCATACTGTGGTTAACATTCTTACCATCCCGGAAGACCCCCATCAATGAAATGAGGGACCATCTAACATTCTTGACATCATAAATAACCTCTACCAAGCCACCTAAATTCATTAATAATCACAACCAACAAACCTATAGCCATACTCATGAGGCTGTTTGCCCATATTTATCATTTTATTGAAACTTCAAGTCTTTTCCAATAAAATAGAGTATAAAATTGGTGAAGCCTCATAAGGAAACTCCTGAGTCTGCTCAATATCATCTATTGGTAAAACCAACAAAACATGCCATAAATCTACATATTCGGCCAAGGGAGTCCATGGCAAAGGGTCCTTCCACATATATGGTCCTCTATTAATTCCACTTATATAATTCATCTACATATTCCTAATCCATTCCTCATGAGGAAACTCATGAATCTGCTCAATATCAGCTATTGGCTATTGCTGCATCTGTATACTCAAAGTAAAACCAACAAAACATGCCATAAATCTGCAGTTTTGGCCGAGCCTATGACAAATGGGTCCTTACACATATATGGTCCTTTATTAATCTATTCTTAATCAATGTAAGACTTCACCATTCACACTAGTCTATTAGTATGGACTTCAGAATTGTTTAGCTATATTTTCCCTGTTAATCAGTAAGACTTAGCAAGCACCAGGCTAAGGAGCTGCCACTGTATGGTGGCCTAGAGGGGTGCTCAACTACAACTATACTACTGGGTGGACCACCTGTCTATAAACAAAGTCCATATTAGAGGGTGCTCACTGCTCAAGAAAGAAGGGTCAGAGATTTCTTGAAATTCAGGTGGTAACCAGACCAGAATTGAAATATTTGGAACTTGTGAATTTAGGTTTGTAGTGAACAGAAGGTTTTTTTTTTTTGTGTGTGTGTGCGTAAGCTAGGAATATTGAGGATAACGAGGAGTAATTATGGTGAAGCTAGAAGAAAGCTAGACAAAATGTGTAGGATAAAAAATAATTCAAGCAAAGTTTGCTTGATACTATGAAAATAAGAGTTTAGAAATATGAAAGCAATATTTCTAGACATCAAAGCAACATTAAACCACTCCCACTAGGGAGGGTGAGCTGAAGGATCCATGTGGGCAATCTTACGCTTGCTTATTTGCAAAGAGGCACTTTCTCAAGACATCATATGACCATTAACAAAAAAACATTTTAGTCAACCAAACACAAACAAACAATTAAACCATGTGCTTGCAAGATATGTACTATCGGCAGTAGAAGTCCAACAATACATGAAGAAAGATCACCATCAAGAAAGATAAAGAAACAGACCAATTTCAAGCAAGCCTAGTTCCATCTGAGAGAGTGAAACTAGCAAGCAATTAGACACGTTCCATAGTTGTTCACTCAACTGACAAAATATCAACAGTTCAACACCCAAAATCAAAATCTGCATATAAAACTTGCGTTCCTTAAACCATTGATTGTGCAAGCTAGATTGTTGAACGAATTAACAAAAAGTACTTTAGTCATCAAAATCAAACAACCAACATAAAGTAATAAATTAAGGAAGAATAACTGTATGCCATATCTGAGCATTTTTCCTAATTCCAAAAGCATCCAAATTGGCCATTCAGACCTCGTACTATGTGGTAAAAGATCAGAACCCAGAAACAGATCTTGGTAAAGAAATTTACCCCAACAAAACTAAAACAAAACATTAATAAAAAAAAGTAACCTTCTTAAGGGCCAGGGCCAGACGTTTACTATCAAGCTTTTTTCCTGGCATAGAATCTAGGATATCACGTGCACAACGAAAGGCACGGTTCTGCAAAGGAAGAGGCATGTCACAAGCTCTGATTCGGACATTATTGTGAAGGTGGTCATGCTGCTCTTGTTGCTCTATGGCTTTCTTCTTCTGTATCAAGCTTTTCAGAAACATGCTTCTTCTCTCTAGCTCCTCCTCTGCACCTTCCATGTTCCCTCTTAACTTTCCTTACCCTCTCATAACTCACAGATGAAACCCTTTTTCTTCTCTTGCACTGGCCTTTTCAGATTGTGGCCAACAATCCACCTTAAAGCAATGGCAAATATTTTTTGCACTCCATTAGCTTCGGAAGGGGCCCATAAGAAAGAAAAGAAAAAGAACAGAGAGAGTAGAACAGAATAAGTATGGGAAGATTAAGACAGAGCATAAATATGAGATGTGGTGTTACTGTATAAATGTCTTTGTTGGGTTTGGTATTGGTTTTTGAGTCTAGTTGTTTCTTTTAATGCATGCATTTGTTACTGTTGGCTCTGTTGCCTGTTGACGAGGTCATTGGTTAAAGCGTAGACACGGTTTGCAAATTACTAGTTTACTATGATATGCTGAGAGTTGCACTTAATAAAAACAGAAGTTTCAGAACTAAACTTGGCATTGAAATCTCTGAATATATCAATAAAGTGTCATATGAAAATTGATTGATCGTAATGTAATCATATTTAACCTTTGAAAAGTGTTATTTTTAACATGTATTTCATCCCTGACATAGCTAATGCATTTGAAGTGATCATACTTGATAGATTAGCATGACCCTTTTAATTTATTGTGAGAGGTTTATCTTTGTCCTAAGTAGTATATACACTTGCTCTACTCTTTTGAAGTAAAAGGCGTTGCGGAATTAGGAATGGTAGTCGTTACCCTACCTCTTACAGTCCTGCAAAATCAATCATTTTCACTTTTGCTTTTTTCTTTTCTTTTTTAGCAATAAAGAATTGTACTTTTTATTTGCTAAACATTGACAAAACCTACTAAGAGGGAACATGTCTGCCACTCTTGCCGTTGATTTGGCTAAAGTAGAAGTTTCCTACGGACTACAGAACAGTATTTAGCATATATTTGGTCCTAGAAAGTCACCCAAAAGCTTCGTTTCTCGCAACCAATGTGCAATTTTGCAAGCTCGATGAATTATGAAATGACTAGGATATTAGGAAACAGTATAGTTGGGTCTTGGGCGTTGAGTTTTTTTTTTTTTTTTTTTGCTATCGATAAAATCTCTACAAATTTTTACATACATCTAAAATAGGAGATTTGAATTTAGAAAATTGCCTCAAAGATATAAATAAGTGCATAAAATATATTTTTTATCTGATTATTTGGCAAAAAAAATTAATTATTGCATTTTAATTAAATAATTACGTATTTATTGCAGTTTTAGAAATAATTACGGATCTATTGCACAATGTGACGCTTTTTTTGGGCGTCACATGTGACGCCTCATTTAGACATCTGTCACCTAAGGTTGACATGTGTCATTTTTTTTTCTAAAAGAAATAATCATGAAACTTCTGAAGGCCATAACTTTTGACTCGACTATCCAATTCAGGTAATTCTTTTGTGATTTAATTTTTTTTATTATAACAAAATTTGGTTTGTGATTTAAATTAAAAATAAAAAAAAAATTATTATTAATAAGGAAAATAAAATAAAGATTTGATTTGTGATTTAAACTAACAAATCAATTTGAAAAATCTGTAGAAATAAAGAAAGTAATTTAATAAATATTCTAAATCTTTAATGCAGAAGGATAATATTTCTGAAATTAATGATTAATGCTATAAGCTTCTGGGTTATTATTCGTGGTCTGAAATTAATGATGGCTTATGAATATTTTTCAAAAATAAAATTACCTAAATTAGGCGTGATTCCCTCTTGATTAAAATTCAATTTAGACGTGATTGGTGACGTGTCAGGAGTTGACACGTGTCACATTTTTAAACTCAAAAGCCTCTGAGTTCTGCGTTTGTGATTTAATATAAAAAATAAATCAAGATTTGATGTGTGATTTAATTTAAAAAATAAATTTTTTTATTTTTATTATAAAATTTTTTTGTTTGTGATTTAAATTAAAAGTAACAATTATTATTAATAAGGAAAACAAGATAAAGATTTGATTTGTGATTTAAACTCAAAAATCAATTTAAAAAATCTGTATTAATAAAGGAAATAATTAAATAAATATTCTAAATCTCTAAGGAAGAAGGATTACCTAATTTAAATTTAAATTATTTTTGTGAGAAATAAAATATATAAAATGAGATGTCATTGCGTAGATCTCGAAAAGTTATGTGGAATCAAAAAAAGAATTACCTAAATTGGATACCCGAATCAAAAGTTATGGCCTTCAGAAGTTTTATGATTAAATTATTATTTTTTTAGAAAAAATGACACGTGTCAACCTTAGGTGAGAGACGGGGCGTCTTCCCTTAGGTGAGAGACGCCTAAATGAGGCGTCACATATGACGCCCAAAAAAGGCGTTACATTGTGCAATAGATCCGTAATTATTTTTAAAACTGCAATAAATACGTAATTTTTTAATTAAAATGCAATAATTAAATTTTTTTGCCCTGATTATTTTTTATTTTAATATTTTAAAGTTTAAATAGATAATACAAGTATCAATCATTAAAGTAACTACTCGTTAACATTGATAATCATCACCTATCCTTTAGCAAAAATGAAATTTAAATAACAAAACAAACAAAATTACTGTTTACTACTTAAACAACCCAATAATTCTGAAAATAAAAATAAAAAAATAACGGTACGATTCCCTCCTCCTGAAAATTTACTCTTGTCCTCAAGAGTAAAATCAACTTCAAGTAATTGAATTATCTTCGATATATCCGTCTTTCCATTATTGTTGATTGAAAAGTGTCCTTCGGCCACAATTCTTTCTTTCCTCTTTTCAAAGAATTGCATAAGGGAATGACTTATTCGACCAAAAATTTGGGATCTTAATTGGTCGAGGGTACTCATTGGATCGTATTCAAATTTTTAATAGCAATGGTAGTGTTAAGCTATGATGCATGGACACTGACATGAGACACGACACGACACGCCGACACGTTAATTCTAAAAAATGTCATATTTCAACATGTTGGGACACGTTTTGATATTAAATAATATTTTTAATATATATAATTTAATTTATATTTAATACATATAACAGTCCATAATAAATCATATAACCAATCAAATATTCAAATTTCATATAAATAAAAATAATTTTTCGTACTTTGTTAATTTGTAATGTCAAATTTCATAACAGAAAAAAATTGATTTATAAATTATTTTTTTTATGTTTAGTTAGTAAAATAAAGTTAAGAGTAGAAAAAAAAAGTGTCGGATGCGTGTCAGAATGTTGACTGCGTGTCGAAAAGAGTTGACTGTGTGTCAGAAAAACGTGTCGGAACGTGTCGAAGAGTTGACCGCGTGTCCCAAAATGTTGACCGCATGTCGGTGTCCGACACGCATATTTTCCAAAATTTTGTGTGTCGGGGTATCTGAGGTGTTTAGCGAGGTTACTCATTTGATGGAGAGAGAAAGAAAAAAATATTTAAGTGTGGAAGCCTCAGAAATGAAATGAGAGCGATGAAAATGGGAGAGTTTGGTGGTTGGTACTAGAGCATCTAACCGATTAGAGAGTTTGATGAACATCTTCTTCAATTGAATGGAGAGTGTTTGAACTGTACCTTCTAAATTTTTCCAACCGTTTCTCCAAGTTGTTACATATACGTATTTTGGGAGAAAATAGGAGATTTGAGTTCAATTGAGGGAACGGCCTCAAGCACACAAACAAGTGTATAAAATATTTCTTCTTATTTGATCATCTTTATTATAATATTTCAAGGTTTAAATAGATAATACAAGTCAACCATAAAAGTAACTATCCACTAACATTGAATTGTAAAAAATTCAAATAACAACTATCCTTTAACAAAGTTAAAATTCAAATAACAAAACAAACAAAATTATTACCTACTACTTAAACAACCCAATAATTTTGAAAATAATAATAAAAAATTAAAAATAACGGTAAGACAAATATACCGAATTATAGTAACTAATATAGAAGAATTGAAAATCTGAAAGTATTTTGATTCAAGCTCCAATTCACAATTTAATTACTACTTGTATTCAAAGGGAGCTTTACGGGGGACATTGACCATTGTGCCACCCTTTTAATAAAAATTTACTTGATTGTCATGTCTGAAAATTCTTTTGTCAAAATGTCACGTCACAATTTTGCTGGTCTTACAAGCGAGAATAGACTGGACACGTGTCAGCGTCTGAATGGTCAACCATTCTCGCTGGACTGCCCAGCTAGAATGATAGAATGCTGACACATAGCAAAAGTACAGACATCCAGAGAATGCCTGTACTTTTGCCACGTGTCAGCATTTTGTCATTCTAGCTGGGCAGCCCAGCGAGAATGGTTGACCATTCAGACGCTAACACATGTCTAGTCTATTTCCGCTTGTCAGACCAGCGAGATTGTGACGTGGCATTTTGACAAATTTTTTTTGAGGCGTGACAATCAAGTAAATTTTTATCCAAAAAAGTGACAATATGGTCATTGTCCCATCTTATAGAGTACGAAATTGACATGCAACAAATTGACTCTTGTACAGTGAGGGATTGAATTACTTCTTGTGAAAGTGTAGAGAATAGTCAAAACAGACCCTATTGGAGAAACCTTTTGAGGCTAGTGAGGACAAAAAGAAATAGAGTTTTTCGAAAATTAATGGAAACACGTTTAGCTACAACCAGTATTGGAAAAACTAACAAGATATTACATAAAGAATGTTAAAGATACTCAAAGCTTATATAGTTCAGAAAAATAAAGCTTTTATGATAATGAAAAGATGTCTCTTCCAGCCAGTACTGAATTAATTATATTCGAATCGGTAATCGATGATTCGACAGATATATTTGAAAAAGAAAAAAAAAATCATAACCTTGACCAAATCAATCAATAAGAATTTAGTTTACAATACATGTTAAAGAATAATATATAAAAAATATTAAATAAAATTTTTAAGTGTTTATTATTTTAAAATTCTAAAAGAAATATTTAATATTTAATAACTAATTAATAAAAATTATTTTAATTCTTTAACATATACTTCTAAGTGTAAATGTTAAAAAAACATAATAAAAGAGTATCCGATGATCACTTGAAAATAAGAATTCAGAAGACTGCAAATGACAAAACGAAATTCGATCGCCACCCAAGAAAGTGAGTATAACCGGCATAAGAATTTGTTAACCGATCGAACGAATTTCTTAGTTACATGTGTTCATCCTTTATTAGCAATGTGAACTATTTAGCCAAATGTACGCCTTCTGCAACATGGTACAACGGAGTAAATAGCACAAAACAGTGATTTGGCTCACTGAAGTAAGTATTCAGTATTCATATAGTACATAGGCCTGTATTAAAAGTAAAAATAAGTGAGATTTATATAACATTAATCATAAAAATGTGATAGAATAAATGTACTTAACTAATTTTCTTTTTTCTATCTTCTGATGGTGATGATCTTAATACCGAAGACATTATTTTCTGCTATCTGATGGTTAGTGCTAGCCTTTCTGTCATTTCCCTCCTCTTCGGTTATTGATTTTTATCATTCCCAGTGGTGTTGTGTGGATTTCGACTCGAGACATCCATTATTACTAGTTTGGGTACATTATTATATGTTGGATACTAAAGATTTTATTTTATTTTTTGAAATGATGAATCACCCTAAAAAGTTTTTGGAATGTTTCACGAATCATACTGTCCTGCCATCCTGTATTCTGCTTCAAAACTGTCCTTTACCTTTTGCCATGCTCACAAGTACGTAATTAAGTAGGTGATATTTTTTTGGAGCATAATACATATGATTGGTACCCAAGATTTAATAATGAATTCTAAAATATATTTCTCTTTTAAGAACTATTTATTACTATAAAATAAGGGTAAAAGATTTCTCCAGTCACCAGAGATAAAGTTATCTACAGTGAGCTCAAAACAACGTTGTTTTGGGACAAAAATTAAGGTGTTTTTGTAATTATAATATATTGCAGGGTTATATTAGTTTTTGTCATTATAATTTTATCTCCAGTAATGAGAAATACTTTTCCCATAAAATAATATTTAATTTATATATGTCAATATCAACATATCACAAGTCACAACCTCCGATGTTTGAAAGAGTGTTTTAAAATTCGAATCAATCGTTAATTTGGTTGAGATATTTTGTCAGTGGTTCAATCGGGTTCAAATTTAAAATAATATATAACAAAATATTAAATTATAAATATTGCGCCAACAAATAAAAGTGATCTAGTGGTAGTCTTTTGATCCTCAAATAATGAGATTCAAGTTCGAATCTTGTTGACATGTTACTTGCAAAATGTTACTTGTTTAATCTCTCTACCCTCCTCATAAAACCCCATTAATCCTACTAACAACTCTCATGAGAAATTAACCTAAATATATTATTCAAAATATAAGTAATTCATTGATTGTTTAACATACTAGGAATAGTTTACTTGCTATTTAATATTTATGATTAAATACCTTGATATCATTTTATAATTCACTGGTTATAGATCTATTGAATTCACAATTTATATAATTAAGGGAAAAGTCCAAAAATCCTCTTGTATTTTACTCTTTTATCACTTGTCTCCATATGTTTTTTATCTTATTACTTATCTTCCTTGTGATTTTTTTTTATCTAAGTTCACATTTAACTTGTTTCATAATTGAACCAACCTGCCTATTTTATCCCTATTTTACCTTCACAAAAGTTATTAATTAATTTGATATAAATATTGGTTACTAGCAACAAACTTCCTTTGATGATTTAGTGGTTTTGACCAAAATTTGAATGATAAATTAGAGCTTTTGACGTAGACAAAACAAGGATAAAATAGGTAAGTTAGTTCAATGATTAACGTTGTTAAAGTGGATTTGGATGGAAAAAATTACAAAAAGGTAAGTGATAAGAAAAAAAAAAGTGTATGGGATTAGTGATAAAATAATAAACCACTGATAATTGATTATAAAATAACATGACTATACCTTAGTCTAAACTCTCAAGTCATATATTCAAATCATCACAGTGACTCTAATATGAATACATAATGAAAAAGATCACCTAGCAGTTTATATAAGAGATTTTTCACACAAAATGAAGGTAACGCTTGCATCATACGCCTTGGAAATTCTACATACATTGTAATATCGCACATATAGAAGAATTTGTAACATTAATTACAACAACTACAAATCAACAAGTCAGTAATAATCCATTCTTCAATCATAATTGATCTCGATGTGATCTACACGTGAACTCGTATCGCGTATGGATCCTCACTTCAACGGTTCATGTATTCAACTGCTGGAGCCGTTGGAGCCATGGCTACTCCTTGGTTTCGCTGCTCAACATTTCCTTGCCACCCTAACCAATTTCAAATAAAATATATTCAAGGCAGATATAAATTTTTTTTAAAGAACTATTTTCTAAACTTTATCGTTATTGCTTTTGATTGCTCGTTTCGTTGAGAATTTCAAAGATAAACTTGAGTATTATAATTGTAAGATAAATAACTGAAACCGATTGAGTATGACCTGTGTTAGAGAGCGAGGAGTAAAAAATAAAGCCCAATAAAAAAATCAGATAACAGCTAACTAAGACATAATTTTTAAAAAGTTAATGTAAGACAAATAAAAAAAAAAAAAAAAAAGGTTAAGGGCCAGCACATAAGAGTCTAATAACATTTCATAAATGGTTCATACCAATGACCATGTCAAATCCTCGGTTTTGAAGTTCACGATATTCTTGACACAAGGCACAGGCCTCGCAGCAACAATGAACCAAGCAATCCCCACAAGGGCTTTCCTTCAACATGTATTGGCGCCTCATCTTGGAGCGGTAGAAGCAAGAGTATAAGCAACCAGAACCAATCACAAATAAAATCAGCGTATACAGAGCCCCACTAGCACCACATGCTTCAAATCACAAAATAAAATAAAAAATTAATTAGCCTCATTCATCATATCATATCATATCATATACACCAACCCCTAATTAATGTGAATTTGGCTTTCATATCCAAAATCATATCATATGTATATATAACAATTGAACTTAATTAATTCAAGTTTCTTACAGGTTGATCCCTTGTCAACAATCTCTGCAACTTGGCCAAAGGTGACACAGGGACACCAGCAAGTTATGCAACCTGAAACAAAATAGAGAGGGAAGGACTCTTGTGAGCAATATTGGATAACATAATAAATATCAGTTAAGAGAGGGTGCTGTGTGATGAGGGGCTTACAGTTTTTGAAGTCGGAGAAACAGTCAAAGAGGCCTGTGGACCAATCCACCTGGAGTTTAGGTTGCGGAGGTGGTGCTGGCTGAGTAACCGGTGGGTTGTAGCTGCTGTAAGTCACCGGAAAACCGGTGACAGGTGGCTGTGCATGAGGGGAGGTTGGTGGATACATAACTAACTATAGTGGAAAATAAGCACAGATTTTTGGTAAGGGAGGGTATGAATATGATGGCGAGGGTGTGAATATCAATATATATAAGCGTTAAATTTGAGGAACACTGCGAGCGTGGAGTGGTTCCTCGATATGTACGAGGGAAGAGCCGAAGAGAAAACTATAAATCTAACCGCACCAACTGCGGTTTATAAATCCAACGTACGCTTCAAATAAATTCTAATAAAATCCACATGAATTCTTCAAGTAAGGGTGGGTGTTAATAAAATGAATTAAAAGAGGATATTGCTAAGGTTATTTTGTAACCAAATACTATGTAAGACAGAGTCAATTTGGCATACAATAAGCAATGAAAAAGAATAATATGAGTTTAATATACAAACTTGGATCATGTTTATTAACGATGGTGGATTTTAAGTCGGAGGGCTGATGGATTTCTGAAAAATTGAACTTTGAATCTATTATTTTTTAGAAGTTTGTTTTTTAAAAAGATTAAATTATTTTGTATTTACAATACATGTAATTCATAAAAATTATTGAAAAATGGTCTGGAAATTAAAATTTAAAATACTTTATTGTACAAAATTACTGAAAAATGGTGACCTTTCACCTTAGTCTAATCGTTATTTTCTTGCTTTCCTCGGTGACTTCCTAATATTCGGTAACCCTTTCTGCCCTTCGCAGTTCGCGGCTAAGCCCATTCGCTGCTTGTAGCTCACAACTCACAACGTGGTCAATGCCAATGTATCCAATCAATGCAAATGAACATAAGTGATATTTGATAGATGGGGCGAGGACTCAGGCCGGCAAAACAAGTTTGACCCAGCAGTGGCGAGCTGGCTTCAATTTGAATCCGGGTCAAAAAATTATGTGTTTTTATTTTTTTTAATTTTAGTTGGTTCATATATAATATATTTAAATTATATTAAATACAGAGTACTTGAACATATAGCACTAAGAAGAGCTATAATTTTATTAAATATTTTTAATTTTACTAAAAATATTTTTTATATATAAGTGAAAATTGAACACTTAACCTAATACAACTTACTCAAATCTTTCACCAAAAATATTTTAAGTTTTAGATAGGGCCAAATTACAAATTGTAACCCAGGCCAAATTATAATTAATTATATAATTATATATAATAAATACAATTTGTTAAAATTTAGCCCGGACCGAGGCCACACCTAGCATACATGTGGCTCCGCCACGGGGAATTAGGATGGATGAGTTTTACAATCCACTCACAAAAGTGAGACGGGACAAGTTAACTCATTTTTTGACGATAGGGAGAGTTAGTGTAAAGGGTTTTATAAGAGGTATGGTGTAGGAAAAGTGATTGTGTAATGTTATAGAGATTCGTTTAGAATGCCATAATTTTTTTCTTTTTTTTTCTTCAAAAAGTGTGGGCCCCACAAAATACTGTGTGTGTAGAAAAATTTGTTGTGTCATGTTAAATAACAAATGCAAATCTTTAGTGTAAAACAGGTTCGGACCAACGGGCTGAGGTTTTCAACCCACTCTCAAAAGCTGGATGGGGCAGACTAGGTTGTTTTTTAGCGGGTTGATGACAGAGATGAGCGGGCTGCCCACATTGTCACCTCTAATGAGGACCTCGTAAGCTGCACAATTAAGCGTCCCAAAAGGTGAATTTATAAAAAAAAAAAACTCATTTTTTAGTTTGAAACATTGAAACATATTTTTTGTATTACAAACGTGTTTTTTAATATATATATATATATATATATATATATATATATATATGAGGTAGGATCCTTTGACACCAATGTCAAATTTAAAATTTGACAACTTATCTGAGAGCCGTTAGATTCAAAAAGATTAATGGTGTCACATGCTTACAAATCAGAGTCGTTGATCTTTTTGGATCTAATGGCTCTTAGATGAGGTGTCAAATTTCAAATTTGACACTGGTGTCAAAGGATCCTACCTCTATATATATATATATATATGGGAGAAGTATTTCTACAGCAACTTTAGATAAGGTTATCTACAGCCATCGATTTTAACTATGTTCTCCCGGGAGAACATAGTTATAATATTAAAGTTGCTTTTTTTTCTCTCTCCACATCAGCAAACAAGTTCTGAAAAGTAACTGAGGAGAGAGAAAAAAAAAGCAACTTTAATATTATAACTATGTTCTCCCGGGAAAACATAGTTAAAAATGGTGGTTGTAGATAACCTTATCTAAAGTGGCTGTAGAAATGTTTACCCCTATATATATATATATATATGAGTTTCAAATTTCTCGTGTAGTAGAAGAAAATTTTCTTATGCCATAGATATATTTTTTGTTGGGCCCACATCTATTAAAAAAACAAAAGAAAATATTGCACGAAAATTGAAGGATTACTAGTAGAAAAACAATTCTCCTACAACATGAGAAAATATTATATATATATATATATGGGTTAGGATCATTTTACACCAGTGTAAGTTACACTCTTAATCTTGTCCACTGATCTCATTTATATCTAAGGGCTCAAATTTTTTAGTAATGTGAGCCATTGGATTCAAGTGGATCAATGATCAAGATTGAGTGTAAGACTTCTAACTCTTACACCAGTGTAAGAATATCCTGCCCCTATATATATATATATATATATATATATATATATATATATATATATATATATATATATGTATGAGAAGGATCCGTTTACAAACTTTTTCTACAAATTACACTAAGGATGGTCGGTCATACACTCTTGATTGAAATATGAACGCTCATACTTAATGTAGTTTGTAAACAAAAAATTATAAATATAATATTTCTATATATATATATATATATATCTTTCTTTAAAACTGCTTTACTTAGGATGGAGTCCTTGCTTAGCCAAGCTGGAAGCTTCTAGGCGGGCTGAGAATTGTCTTCTTTTTCTTACGGGAATTAAGTAGAGGATCTCGACTTCCCTATCTGATGATTAGGCTTCCCTATCCGAATCCTGCGAGTGACTAAGCGCGAGACGAGCCATAACATAAGGGTGGAATCTACCCAGACCGTATTGAAAAGGTTCTTGAGACACAACATGGAAGAGTCACAATAATAAAAAATGAGATTTTTTCACCTTTCCCTCACGGTATTGCTTCACCGTCGGTCATCGAGATGAGAAAGAAAGGGCAATTCTCAAGTTAGACCCACACAAATGTGTGTATATATATATATATATATATATATATATATATATGAGTTTATCATTTCTCAAGTCACTTGAGATAAATTTATCTTCGGCCACTAAATCATAACAGTACAAATAAGATGCATCAATGGTGATAAAGAAAGAGAGAGAAAAAGGGAATCATAATTGTTCAAAGATGAATCAATTAATATAAGAAAATAAATAAACAAAATAACGTAATTTTAAGGTGACTGGAGATAGAGGTGTTCGCGGTCTAGATTAGATCGATTTTGGAAGCAAAACTCATCCGAACCAATCCCTTCGGTTTGATCATGTAATCATCCATTCGGTTTGAATTTTTTTTCAAATCTGATCCGATCCAATCTAATTTTTTTCGATTTGGATTGGATCGGTATTCGATTTTTTTAATATACTAAAATTAGTTTCATGATTATTGTGCAAATAACATCTTTTGTATATATTGGCTTTGTAAAAAAAAAATTTAAAATAAAAAAATAAGAGTAAACGATACTATAATTTTTTTCGCAATGAGATATGAAGCTCTATACACAGATGAAATTTTATTGATGAGATATAACTAGGTTTTTTCTTGGGTTTAGTTGATGAGTTAATGGGTCTTGGGTATAGAAATTTTTGGGCTATGATTGGGGAAAGGACCAAGTAGGTAGAGGAGAATTAATATATTGGATCGGTTTGGATTGGATCGATTTTCATCAACCCATCCGAAAACCGATCCAATCTAATTAAAATTTGCGATTTTTTTCGGTTTTCGGTTTTTCGATTTTCGGTTTATTCAGTTTTCGATTTTTCAATTCGGTTTCCGCGGTTTGAATCGGTTTGGATCGGTTGATGAACACCCCTAACTGGAGATAAATATATCTCAAGTGATTTGAGAAATATTTTTTTTCTCTATTTATCTATCTATCTATCTATCTATATATATATATAGAAAAGATCCGTTTACAATTTTTTTTACAAATTACACAAAGTATGACCAGTCATACACTCTTGATTGAAGTATGACCGGTCATACTTAGGGGGGTGTATTGGGTTAGGATTTTAAAAGATTTTTTTGAGATAAAAAATCTTACAAATTTTAAAAGACATTTTAGAATTGGAGAGACTTTAAAGACTTTTTTTATAATCAAGATTTCATAAGATTGGATTTTAAAGGATTTTAATAGAATTTATAAGATTTGAAATGACAATATGAATTTATCAGATTTTAAAAAACGGTATAAATTTTTAGCAAACATTCAAAATTACAAGAGTCAATAATCAAAATAACAAAGAAATGCAATGAAATTAATAAAAAAACTGAAACGTAATATAATTTTTTCAATCAGTAAAACATAATATAATTTTTAACAAACATTCAAAATTACTAAGCAACAGCTCTTCACATAAAGTTATACTAGTCCTCCACGCATTAACATTTTCTCGTTTATGCTCTTGGGTTTGACCAATGGGTTGAAAATTATCTTCTTCATTTGTATCAAAGCTATGCATAAATGATATAAAACCCAATTTTTTAATTAATAAAATAATTCTAAATTTGCATATAGAACCTAAAGTTCATTATAAATTTTTGTATGGAATTTTTTGCAATTGATCTTGAAAACCTTGGGGTTTTTGTTCTATGTGATGAGAGTTTTCTAACCATATATCATATGCATATTTTCATTAATCTGATTTTTTTGATTTTATTACATGAGAGTTTACAGAATTTCTCAAAAAATTTCCAATCCATACATTGAAACCTTAAATTGCTTTGGGACTTTTGAAAAATAATTTTTTTAGTTATCCATTGACACAAAAATTGTTTGAAATCATTTCCTATAGTGAAGAAATTTCGTTCATGAATGTATTGTTACAAAATATAGGGTTCATATTAATATTATGAAAGTTTCAATATTTCTTTCAATTGATATTGTTTTATTGATGTAAAACGAAAATTGATTTGAGGATTTTAGTTCCCTATTGTTTTTCCACTATTTTATATTGTTTTTAATACAAAAATCACATATTTTTGTGGCGAGAGAAACTATGACCCATAGCTTGAAAAATAACTTTTTAAACTTTCAAAATTTCTAAAAAATGATTGAAAAATATGTTTTTGTTGGTTTTTGTTTCTGGGTTTTGTAATGAAAATCGCTAAAAAATATCTATTTTGAGTTTTGATGAAGCTTTCATGGCGGAACCCGATTTCGAGCGGGTCAACCTGCCAAAGGAAGAAGAAAACACTGCAATAGAGAAATCTCAAGAAATCCTAGAGGTTACGGTGAGATTGTGAGAGAGGCATCCTATTTATATTTTTAACTAAAAAGTCTCACGAAATCCACAACAATAGAAAATCCATTAAAATCGTCGGATTTTTGAATACCACGAGATTGTGATTCCATTATTTAAAGTTCTAATTGAATACCAACGAATTTAGACGGATTCTAAAATAATTTTTTAAAATCATAATCGAATACCACATGACTTTTTTTCAATCCATTAAAATTCTAATCGAATACCAACGGATTTTTTTATCCAAAAACAATCTATTAAAATCCTTTGAAATCTCAATCCAATACACCCCCTTAATGTAGTTTATAAGAGTTTGTAAACAAAAAAATTTTAAATATAACATTCTCATATATATATATGGAGATGATTTTGTCCTCACAAACATTTTTTTTTAAAATAAAGACACAATGAGGCCCACTTGTGTTTGTCTTTGTTGCCGAAGAGGAAACATCTCCAATAACAGGAGATGTTTATTTCCCATATATATATATATATATATATATATATATATATATATAGGATCCTTTGAAATCATTGTCAAATTTGAAATTTAACACCTCATTTAAGAGCCGTTACATAAAAAAAATAACGACTCTGATTTGTAAGCATGTGACATCATTGATCTTTTTTGATCTAACGACTATCAAATGAGGTGTCAAATTTCAAATTTGACACTGGTTTTAAATTTCAAATTTGACATTGGTGTCAAAAGATCCTACCTCACATATATATATATAGGGGTAGGATCCGTTTACAAATTTTTTTGACAAATTTTTACAAACTACACTATCTTCTCCCGGGAGAACATAGTGAAACCTAGTGTTCTCTCGAGAGAAGATAGTGTAGTTTGTAAACAAAAAAAATTATAAATATAACCTGCCCCATATATATATATGGGTTCGCTTTTTCTGCTGTTACTACAAATAAGTTATCTGCAGTAAGCCCAATACGACGTCATTTTAGTGCGGAAATTATAGTGTTTTTTTAATTTTAATTTATTTCAGGGTTATTATAGTCTTTATAATTATAATTTTTTAATATTTCAATCCCGAAACAACGTCGTTTGGGAATAAATGTAAATAACTTATCTGTAGTCACTATCCAGAAATATTTATGTATCTATATATATAACAACTTGAAATAGGCTCAGTTAAGTTAAACACTGAAAATTTATTGAGGAATATATAACATCAATTACAATTACTAAAATGCAATCACTTATTGTTCATACATTGTGTTATTGAGGAATATATAACATCAATTACAATAACTAAAATGGAATCACTTATTGTTCATACATTGTTGTACATCAGATCTCACACAAGAATCATGCTCAATTACAGAAGCGCGTGTACTATTGTATTGATCGTCCCTTCAACGGTTCATGCCCGGTTCGACTTTTGGAGCTGTTTCAGTCATGGCTACTCCCCGGGTACGTTGCTCAACATTTCCATGCCACCCTAACCATAGCAAGTTCAAACAAAATTTAATTAAACCAAAAAAGAAAGAATCTATCTACAAAATGAGAAATTTATTTTCCAAACTTTATCCTTATTGCTATTTCGATTGCTTCTTTGCAGGGAATTCAGAAGATTTTAAACAAGAGGGTCGTTATATAAATAAAACATGTCCGCAAGGTCACCCATGATCGAGGATTGATAGAACATTCAAATGCATATAAGATTTATGGCTACTTTGAAATGAGAGATTTATCTAAGAGGGGAAAATAGTGTTGAGATATATAGTCCCACATTGATTGGATGGGCAACTAATATGGCCTTTATAAGGCCTTGGGCACTCCCACCCCTTGAGCTAGCTTTTGGGGTGGTGTATCCCACGGTTCTTAACTTGGTATCAGAGCCTCACCGTCCCCCACTTTAAAGTAGAATTAAAAATAAAATAAAAAAGCACAAAAAGGTAAACCGAAAATGGGCCTGTGCAATTTCCACGCTTCTAGCCTAAAGGGCTCTTGCGTGAGGGGGCGTGTTGAGATATATAGTCCCACATTGATTGGATGGGCAACTAATATGACCTTTATAAGGCCTTGGGCACTCCCACCCTTGAGCTAGCTTTTGGGTGGTGTATCCCACGGTTCTTAACTAATAGCTAGAGAGTTGTATTTATTGGTTAAAAAATGTGAATTCTTAACGTCCTCTACTATTCAGGATAAAATTTATAGGAAGAAAGTAAATAGAAAGAGTGATGAGAAAATATTTGAGACATGATATTCTATGACGTCTATACATCGAAGAGAAGAGTCACAAAACAGAGCCCAATCAAAAAATTCAAGCGACAGTTACGACAAACGATCGTTTTTATGTTAAGTTTAGACATGTCCAGCCACATCCTAAATTGAAGGAAGAAAAGATTCAAAACAAAGACCAAAATTTTATATAATAATAATAAAAAAAAAAAAAAAAAAATCAGCGGCTAGAAGCTAATAGTTCTTATATGGATCATACCAATATCCATGTCAAATCCACGATTTTCAAGCTCACGATATTCTTGGCACAAGGCGCAGGACTCGCAGAAGCAATGAGTCAAGCAATCAACGCAACCACTTCCCTTCAAATTGTATTGGCGTCTCATCTTGGAACGGTAGAAGCAAGAATATAAGCAACCACTTCCAATCACACAACAAATTAGCGTATACAGAGCCCCACTTGCACCGCATGCTGCCAATCACATATTTTAAACAATTAGTCTCGTTAATCATAATTGCCAAGAAACCAACAATCTCCACCCAGTATTAATGATGGGATTCTTTTAGGAGATAATTTTATCCCAAAATAAAAGTTTGTGAATCCATCGAAAAAAAAAAAGGGAGAGAAAAAAGAAATTACGAGTCCCACATATATTTTTATGTACGTAGAAAATAAAATTATCTCCTACAATACGAGAAACACTAATTTCAATAATAATTAATGAATGGTTTATATATAATGTTAAAAGGAAAATGTGTAATATTTTAAAGAATATAAAACTGTTTAAGTGAAAGAAAGAAATAAATCACGAAAAAAAATAAAAATCTAAGTCCCATTTCTTTAACAGAGTAAAATAAAATCACATAATTTATGTCTAAGAGTACAAACATTTTTTTCAATATTAAATGAATTAGTAGCCATAAATGAGTTTCTTACAGGTTGATCCCTTGTCAACAATCTCTGCAACTTGGCCAAATGTAACGCATGGACACCAACACGTTATGCAACCTGAAACATATTAGACACTTATTACAAAACATATATATACTATTGACTGGAATGGGGTGAAGCAGAGGAGGGGGCTTACAATTTTTAGTGTCGGAGAAGCAGTCACATAGGCCGGTGGACCATTCCGTAGGCTGGGGAGGTGGCGGTGGTTGATGGTAGTGGGAATTGTCGGTGGTGTAGTAGGGTGTTGGGTTGCTGTAGCTCACCGGGAAACCGGTGGCTGCTGGCTGATTGGATGGTGGCTTTGCTGAGTCTGAGGATGTTTGATACATAACTAAATGCTGCCGGAACTAGCTCTGGTGTTGGGAAAAAGGAGCAGAAATTATTAAAGTTGGAGCAATTTGTTTAAGTAAGGGGGCGTTGATAGACGGTTTTGTAAATCTATGAATATGGCTCCACAATTTATAATAGCAGAATTTGGATAACTTAGTGAGGGACGCGGTAGGGTAGAATGGTTCAATGATATTAATTGTCAGTCAAGGTCAATAACTGAGTGGATAATTAACCGTGTACAATTTTTCCAGTTATTCGATTAATTCAATTTAGGTCGAGTACAATTAAATAGACGGTAAAGCTCTCTTACCAAATTTTAACATAATTCGATTTAGGGCGAGTATTAATCAAATGGATGGCAAGATTGTCCTACCAAATTTTAACATAATCATATTATCAGCAACTCAAACTTGAAAATAATAAATACATCCACAACTATTAAGAGAGTGTTTGGATGGCGCTTTACCTAAAAAGAAATTAATTATAAAAAGTCCAAAGTTCTTGGTTTACAACATGCATTTGGATACCAATTTTTTAAAAACGGTAATTTTTAAAATATTATTATTTTTAAGTCAACATCCGTGTTAAACAAACAAATATTATTTAAAATTTAATTTAGGCCCAATTCCATCTAACCAGTAGGGGTGTCAAAATAGGTTGACACGACATGAATTTGACACGACACGAATACACGATGAATCTGATATTATTCAAGATGAAGAGGAAAATACACAAATACACGTCAAAATGGGAGAAACCCTTAAAAGGAGAAAGGAAAGGAAGATGAAGAGGAAAAGAATTCTAATATTATTCAAGATGAATCTGAAGAGTATCTCTTTACATGTATTTATACAATTCAACATTAACCAACTAATGTAACTGCAAATGCTATCTGTCCATACACGTGTAAGCCAGTATTATTACATGCTTCCTAAGCTAACACGTTTCAACAACTAATACGTGTCTAAACTACTAACCACTAAGCCACATAATCAGCTAGAAGAACCGAATCCCTTCTCTCACGGTTTGATCTCCTTCGACTTGTAACATTCCCCTGCTCTTCACAAGTGACCTTGTCCTCAAGGTCAAGATTAGGATAGCAACGTTGCAAATCATCTCCCTTCTCCCAGGTGGCATCTTCAGGAACTGAGTGAGACCATTGAATTAGGAATTCACGAACTTGCTGGTTGTTAGAAGATACAACCCGTTCACTTAAGACAGCCAAAGGAACCTGTACAGGCTTGTTGTCAACAGCGAAGGAAGGCAGAGGATGGGGAGTCACTAGCTGAGTTCCTACGCAAGGCTTCAACTGTGAGACATGGAAAACAGGATGAATTTGACATCTTTGTGGTAGTTTCACTTCATATGCAGCAGGCCCCATTACACGTGATACTTCAAATGGACCAAAAAATCTTTTACTGAGCTTATGATTAGCTCTTCGTTCCACAGTGACTTGACGATAAGGTTGTAAGCAGACCCATACCTGATCTCCCACTTGAAAAGATCTCTCCTTGTGGTGTTTGTCATACTGTATCTTCATCCGGTTCTGTGCTCTTTGAAAATGTAATTTCAGATGCTTCATTATATCATTGCGTTGCTGTAACATAGTATCAATGGCTTCTATTTTTATGAGTCCCCTTGGATAAAAAGGGATCAATGTTAGTGGCTTCCCAAAGACTGCTTGATACGGTGTCATAGCTATTGCAGAATGATTAGCTGAATTATAGTGGTATTGAGCCCAAGGCAAGAATTGAGACCATAATTGTGGTTGCTCAAAACAAAACGAGCGAAGATATTGTTCCAAATATCTATTAGTCACTTCGGTTTGTCCATCCGATTGAGGATGATAGGAAGATGTAGTCCTCAATGTGGTGCCACTTAGTTTGAATAAATGGATCCAAAATTGACTAAGAAATATACTATCTCTATCCGTCAAAATCGGACGTGGGAAACCATGTACCCGCACAATGAGGTCACAAAATAATGCAGCAACCTTAGCAGCTGTATAAGATGCAGGTAAACTACCAAAATAAGCAAACTTGGATAGCCTATCTACAACTACCAAGATGGTGGTGAATCCTTTAGAGGTTGGTAACCTAGTGATAAAATCCATAGACAATTCTTCGAACACTCCTTCGGGTATAGGCAAAGGTTGTAACAAACCAGAGGACTTAGAGGTCTCATACTTAACTTGTTGACAAATTTGGCATTCTCTAACAAAGGATTTAACATCCTTACGCATAGTAGACCAGTAGAAGGTAGCAGAAAGTCTCAAGAAGGTTCGTAAAACTCCAGCATGACCACCAAGTAAAGAAGAATGAGCCTCAGTAATGAGTATAGGAATAAGAGAAGAAAAAGAGCTGAGATAATACCTCCCCTTGAAAAAAATAATTCCATCGTGAACCACAAATTCAGGATCAACATTGGGGTTGTCCTTAAGCTGCTGATGACGTTGCAACAAGTGTAGATCTGTAGTGTTTTGATTCTGGATCTCAGTTACTATATCAAAGAGTGGCTCAGATAAAATGGTATTGAGATTTCCTTCTTCGAACTTCCTAGATAAGGCATCAGCAACAGAATTTGCCTTTCCAGGTTTATACTCAATTCGAAAAGTGTACCCCATTAACTTGCAGAGGTATTTTTTCTGTTCCTCCGTGTGAATGGTTTGTGTAAGAAGCTCCTTGATACTCCTGTGGTCAGTGCGAATAACAAACTTGGAGCCTAGCAAATATTGGCGCCATCTTTTAACCGCAGCCGTTATAGCATACAACTCCCGTATATATGTTGATGCATTTGCTAATCTGAAATTTAATTTTTTACTAAAATAAGAGATGGGCTGCTCATGCTGGAGAAGAACAACACCTACTCCACTTCCTGATGCATCAGTTTCAAGCACAAATGGATCCTCAAAATTTGGCAAACGCAACACAGGGGTTTGAGTCATGGCAGCCTTAAGTTGTGAGAAGGATTCATCAGCTTTGGCAGACCAGGAAAATGTCTCTGATCCCCTTAAAAGTTCTGTCAAAGGAAATGCTAATGTAGCATAGCTGCGGACAAATCTTCGATAATAGCCAGTGAGGCCTAAAAATCCCCTCAACTGCTTTAGTGTTTTAGGCACAGGCCACTCCACCATAGCAGATATTTTTTTAGGATCCGCATAAACACCATTGACATCAATCACATGACCCAAATACTCCATTTTTTGAGTGCCAAAGGAACACTTACTAAGCTTGACAAAGAAACAATGTTGCTGTAAACAATCCAGTGCTATTTCCAGATGCTGAATGTGGTCTTCCAATGATTTGCTGAACACCAGGATATCATCAAAAAATACTATGATGAATTGCCGTAGGTAAGGCTTGAATAGATGATTCATAACTGCCTGAAAAGTAGCTGGGGCATTGGTCAAGCCAAATGGCATGACTAGAAACTCAAAATGACCATCATGAGTTCTAAAGGCAGTCTTGTGAATATCAGTGGGTAACATTCTAATTTGATGGTATCCTGCCCTTAGATCCAGCTTTGTAAACACAGTGGAGCCTCCCAATTCGTCTAGGAGTTCATCACAAGTATAACACAGACCCAAATCTCTACGTTTTTGCAAGTCAACATGCGAAAAACGTTTTCCATGATTAGGAGCAGGAAGGGCCAAACGTTGTGTTGTGGACACAGGAAGTTGGTTGACTCCCATAGGAGTAGGTGAATGTGTAGTAACAGGTGTGGGATCAACCACCGAATTGGATCGTGTCGCAAATTTGCGTTGTGTACCCTGAAAAGAATTCTTCAACTCACTGAAATGATCATCATATGCCATAGCAAGTTGAATGGCTTGGTGCAAAGAATTGGGTTCCCGTAATTGAACCGCACCTCGAAGCTCCGATTGGAGGCCCGATATGAAAAAATTCTTAAGAAGATCATCATCTAATTCAGGAGTTTGATTCACTAACGCCTCAAATTGCTGAATGAAATGGCGAAGAGAGGAGGTCTGGGTCAATTTAGATAACGCCCCTTTCAAATTGGTGAACCCAGGGATGCCAAAACGATGACGAAGAGCAGAACTGAAATCACCCCAAGAACAAGCAGTACCTGATTTAAAGATCCATTGAAACCAGGAAGCAGCCATACCATCCATCTTCAACCCCGCCAATGGCACCTTGGTGTCTTCTGGAATCGATTGAAGAGTGAAAAAGAGTTCAGCCTTAAAGATCCAATTATTGGGATCATTGCCATTGAACAACGACATCTCCATCCGAATCCCTTTGAGTAAGGAACGATTATCGGTGGAATCTGAACGCAATGGTAGCGAATTTGAACTATTGCTATGAGGAGGGTCACGGCGAGGTGAATGGTTAGCAATCACCACCTCTTGAAGTTGTTGCATCTGATGAACCAGCAAGGAAATCTGGTTGCGGGTGTCCGTCGCTTGCATCGTTGATTGCGCACGCAATTCTTCAAATTGGTTGTCAACCCGTTGCTTGAAGGAATGAAACTCCTCCGACAATTCTTGAACCCTAGTCATAGCGTCAAGAACAGGGAGTGCAAAATGAAAGCACCAATGTTAAGGGAGAAACCCTTAAAAGGAGAAAGGAAAGGAAGATGAAGAGGAAAAGAATTCTGATATTATTCAAGATGAATCTGAAGAGTATCTCTTTACATGTATTTATACAATTCAACATTAACCAACTAATGTAACTGCAAATGCTATCTGTCCATACACGTGTAAGCCAGTATTATTCACATGCTTCCTAAGCTAACACGTTTCAACAACTAATACGTGTCTAAACTACTAACCACTAAGCCACATAATCAGCTAGAAGAACCGAATCCCTTCTCTCACGGTTTGATCTCCTTCGACTTGTAACACACGAATACGGCGCGAATTTTTATTCGTGTCAAAATCTTCAACACTGACACGACACGAATTTTTTGCGGGTTGACACGACACAAATAACACGTAAAATAGGAGTCAAAACGGTAATTGACAATTTTTTTAAAAAAAATGGATCGAAAATAAAAAAATTAAAAAGAATACGGGTCAAACCGAACACGAATACATCAACCCGAACACGACACAAATTTTTTACATAT